CCTACCATATCGGATTCAAGCCAAGAGCGTGTGGACGTATAGCTAGGCAATCCTCTTCCCAGATAGCACGTCCCTTGAACTAATTGACCTTAGAATGTGCTTTGTATTCAAGAAAATTCATTTTATTTATCATCTTCATTTCCGCAATCTAGCCACTGACAAAGCCTTCACATTTCGTCCGAGAAGTCGTGGGTGATATGCACATTATGATTTTTAGATTTGGAGCAAGTTTCATTCATCTTCTCGACGGTATAACCTTTCTAGGCAAGCGGGATTTCTAATGGACTGAATGAAACCGACTTTGTGCGCTATAGTTGGACAACTATCTAATTTCGCTAGAGTCCGCATAAACATGAAAAAGAAAACATCTAGAAAAAAAGCTAGTATGTGAGCCATAATGATGTAATGGTAATGGAGAAATATGAATAGTTTACTATTTCCGATGAGGTTTCGCTTATTTGCTCTGCGTATGGGAAAACCTGTATCTGCGTTGGGCGGACAACCGGACGCTGATAAGCCAGAAATTATTGTCCTCGGTGGTGGTTGCGGCCTGAGGTTAGAAGGTCCTAAGCTCAATTCAAAACTTGAGCCTACTCTCTTTTGATTTCCTGCCGGTGTCCTCATGCAGTAGGAGAAGCCATTGCCGATGTCTCCTTCAGTAGAACCAGATTCGTCTCCGAACTGGACGTGCTGTTGCTGGTGATGACGTCTATGCCAGTGAGATGTGGTAAGACTGGTTCTTGCCCAGTGACCACGGTTGTATTCACCTTCACTGCTAACAGGGGCGGCGGCGGGAAAATGGGTAGATGAAGGGGCGGAGCAAACGGAGGATGAAGAAGTTGGATAGCATAGGCCACCCGTTGGCCTTTCGGCTTTTGCGGTGGGGTTGGCTAGCGAAGTAGCAAGCGGGGAGCCAGTTTCAAGACCAACACTGGCGCAACGGACTGAACCATGAGAGCAGTAGGAGGATGGGGCAAAGGAAGATGAGTAAGGAAAGCTGACTAACTGTCTGATATTACCACGGGGAGTTTCAATGTTTGGAAGAAGAGGAGAAGAGGCAACTCCGATACACAATCATGAATGAGTGGTAAGAATGTGGAGGAAAATTGTGACATTTCGTCATTAAACTTATTCATAAATCCTGGCTATTTTAGTATCTTCGGGGCTTAACCGTCTTTTTATCTCGATTATGGTAAAATATCTTACCTAATTTAAGGATTCCGGTTAAATGAAGGTAAGAAGGACTTTGAGACTATCACAAATAAAGGAATTCCTTTTGGTTAAGTAAATTAACTGACAATTTTCACGGGTTAAAAGTCAAAC